TGCAAAGACCATGAAGACTACAAGTGTCAACTGGACCCTCACTGCATCAGTTGTAGTGGTTCCCACACCTCATACTTTCATTCTTGCCTTTAGTGGGTGGAGGAAAAAGAAGGTACAGCATTTAAAGTCTGTAACCCTGAGGCTCAGAAGTTGTTGACCCCTATTCCATCTTAGACATATGCTATTGCACTCTCTTCCATTGCTACAGCAGGAGTGCAGACAGATCTTTCCATGCTTCCAACAGAATCTTCTTCTCAATATGTAAAGCTAATTTTGTCCTATGTGGAAGTAAGAGTTGACAAATCTATATCTACTCCTGTCTCTGTCCCTTCCATCGCTTCCAGTGCCTACTCGGGTCCAACCTCTTAGGTGCCGAGGTGCAGGACCATTATTCGGTCATGCCTTAGTCACTGGAGCATCCTTCTTCCAACAGAGATCTGCCCAATCTACCCAGGGCAGGTTCCATGGAGTTCAACAGACCTCTTTCTACAAAAAGGAAAAGCAGTGCAGCCGCAAGCAGAAGGGTTCTCCACCTAAATAAAAATTACCACTTTGATACAGTGGAATAGTTGAGGTTTTCATTCTAATTTGGATGACATTAAGGCTTTGATCAGTTCCTATCATCCCCTGTGTGTCTTTACTTATAGGAAACATTCCTAAGACCTGCTAACGCTGTCACCTTTTGACAGTTTTCTATATCTGGAATGGCAGGTTGTGTGCTGAACAAGTTGACAGAGTGTGGCACTGCTGGTTAACCAGGATGTACCCACCTTGTCAGTGCCACTCAATACACTCATGGAGGATGAAGCCGTCAGTATCTCCATGGGTCGTAACATCACTGTTTTTTTCTCTCTACCTGTCTTCTTGAGAGACTTATGATTAATCAGACCTTTATACTCTGATAGAACAGTTGGTGATTCCCCTTTTTTATCTTGAGAGACTTTATTGGCCACAATCCACTTTGGGGTGGTGCTGATATTGATGGAAGGGGTCGTTCTTTGGAGCATATGCTCTCAGATCACAACTTTTCTCTCTTCAGTACTGGTTCTTTTGCCTATTTTTATGCACCTACTCAGTCTTTTAATGCTGTTGATCTCTCTATCTGTTCCACTTCACTTTTTTCTTGGAGGGTTTACAGTGACTCAAGAGACAGTCATCATTTTCCCTTTCTTATGAGGGAGGTTGGCCATGGTCGATGCCACCTAACCCAAGTACCATAGTGGAAGTTGGATTAGGCTGACTGGTTCTCCCTCACCATCTCTTAGCTGTCTACTGGCCCTGAAATTGCTTAATGTTAGTTCTCACCCTGTTCTCATCAATATTCAAAAGTGACTGGTCCATTTTTCTCTATCTTTCATTTCTCTCCAGATTTTATGGATTACTGGCCATATCTGTATTCGTGGGAATGAGCTCGCTGAAAGTGCAGCTAAGTCCGTCTGATCTGCCACTGTCTTGCCTGTTCCATTAACTCTTTCAGCATGGGCTCAGTCCCTGGGACCAACCTCGTAACTATTTTGTGCTTGTTATAATTTTCATGCTATAAATTTTAGATTAGTAAGTGAATGTTAACTATATTTGGCAGGTTATCAGTAAATATTACAATGCTTTCATACGCAAAATTTTTTTTTTTAAATTCTTAGGTTTGTAAAGCAATGTTTTTCCCTCATGTCTTTTTTTTTCTTTTTTGCATGTTGCCTATCTATCATGCAAAGTAATATTCATAATAAAATTAAAAATACTTTTATGCATCAGAAAATTTTGAAATTTCAAATGCGAAATCTTTATAATGTCTAAATAGTTATCAAACATTTCTTAAGTAAAAACTGTTGGGATCCTGGGTGGCCTGGTGTTGAATATGAGTAGAGACAGCACACCTGAACAATCCCTAGGTTGACAGAACAGTTTTTCTATAACAATCCTATACTCTCTTTTTTTTCTCAACTTTACTGACTCTGATTGGTTATGGAGTACCGTGTACTATACTGGTGAAAGTTTCTTAAAGGGCATACACAGTGGTAATGTTCAATAAAACCTAAGAATATTATGTTTAGTATATTTAAAATTTATATTCAACATCATGAAGTAATGTTTATTTTAATTGTCAAAAATTCAGCAGTTTTAGTAGTCATATGAAAATTTTTAAAAGGAAACACAAGAAATGGTATTAAGTATATTTCCAATAGGATACCTAACCTCCTCTCGATTTGTGCTGCCCTCTGTATATGCAATTTTTTTGCTCACCACAAGCTTTGAGGCTTCCACCTAAATTTATGCATTTCCATGTGGTATTGCTGTGCTGTAGCATATGTGACAACCCTCCACGAATAAGAGTTTACCACACCTTTCTGCACAGCTGACCCCTTCTATACTGAAGTTTACAATTATCACTTCTCAATTTGACACTCATGTGTAACAACCTGTGTTTTTTTGCTTGTGAACTTTTCAGACATAGGCTTTTTCAAGTTGAAGTATCTTCAAAGACACTGTCTGTTGTAGAAGTATTTATTGTTGGATTTTTGCTTTCCAACAGTTTTCTGGACCTGCAGATTTTGTGGCTTTTTATTTCCACATTATTATTTCATTGACTTCAGTAACTTTTACCTTGTTTTGTGTGAGGCAACAAAATAGTGTTCACACTAGTCTCACATCTGAGTTCAGCAGGTGGTGGAGTTTATCATGCAGCCTGTGCCTTCTTTTGTGCCTATATTTTTTGTTCATGATGGAAGGGAGTTTGCTGGTTTGTTACCACTACTTATTTGTGCCTAATCTTATACCTATGTTGTCTTGAATCTACCTAAGCCTTTTTTTTTATAATTTTGGGATTAGGTTTCTCCGGTATGTTTCACTCCTCTTTGTAATTTATTCCCTGCTTCTTTTCATTTTTACTTCCTATCCAGATTTGCTAGTCCATATTTAATTACTTTAACCATTTCTTTGGTGCATCCAAGCTTCATCTTCCTTCCTTTGTTACTTCATATGGCTAGACTTAACTTCAATGTGTGTTGCCTTTCTTTGCCTCTTAAATTCTTTAGCCATTTCAGAGTAGGGGGGTTGGATCCTCTGTGTTTTGTTCATCTTTTCTTAGGCTTAAGTTTCCCATCTTCATCTCACACTCTCTACTCTTTTACTTTAGTTTTCCTCCATTCACCTTCCTTCCAGTTGTCCACCATTCCTCTGAAGGGTTTTTCAGCAGATGTTAATTTATTTGTATTCTCTACAGTGGCTTGTTTATCTTCCTTTGCCTTATCCCTTCATATTTAATTGATCTGTTGCTAGAGTTTGTTGGGGTGTGATGCCCTTGTTACTCATGTGTTTTTGTCTCCCTTTTCTTTCATATGCCTTCATCTGGCTCATTTAATCTGCTTTTATGATCTTACTAGAGTGCTTATTTCTCTGGGTTCATATTTTGGGGCCACATGCCAATTTTCTTTCTTATCCTCACTAGTTTACCGTCTCTCTCAGGCTCGTACTTTGCCTCTATCTTCTGTCCTCCTGCCTCCTCTTCTTTCCCTATTGCCACTTACTGTTCCTGTGCTCATAGACTTCAGTGCTGTCAGTCTTGGTGGGGATTATCCTATAAGCTTAGAGTCAGCAGGCCTGTTTACTTAGGTTTACAGACCTTTACCATATGTTTGCTGCTGATTGTTGAATACTGGGAGCTCTGTCAGAGAGCCTTATCTTTCATTTTTTCCTCACCTCTTCCTGTTCCTGTTATTGTTTACTGCCAACATCTGTGGCAGTGTTGGATCAAATGGATAAAGACTGTTGGATGGGTTTCTCATCCTTTTCCAGGATTTATTCCTGTTTTTTGGGGATTCTAAAGGACACCAAGGTGGACTTCTTTTCTCATTTGGCTCTGTCTAAACAAGCCTCACACACCCATTCTCTTTTCTTTATTCAGAAGGCAGCAAGTCTGGGTATTACAAATACTTGATTCTTTCTGTCAGGTATCACCTGAATATTTAGCTATGTGTTTTAACAATGTAACTTTCTTTAAAATAATTAAATTTTTGCTGCTTGTGAGTTGCAACTCACTGGATGTTTTGTGAATTACTTTATGGAAATACTTCACCAAAAACATTGCCACTTTCACAAGAGTGTAGGACACATGTTGTTTGAAGTTAGAAAACAGTTCTATGATTCACAATTTCTTGAAAGCTCTCAGTTCACTATAAAACTATAAAATTATTAAGAAAGCTTTGACAATTTCATTACATTGCTTTTTTTTCACTGCTTTGAAAATGGAGATGTTGGGAACTGCAAGTAATATACCAATCTTATAATTTGTTTTTTTAAAGAAAGAAATATTTACTTTGGAACTCAAAACATGAAAATTATTTCAGAATAAATGACCAACTGTGAATATTATTTAGAATAGATTTGTCATAGGCCTACACTGATAGGCAACTACAATTCAGAAGTATATCATATCTATTTTGCCAAAATTGCATAAAAATAATTGTTAAAAACTTCTCACTTGTGGTAGTCAGCATGATTTATGGGCACAGCCAAAATATTGTTTCATTTTTGTAACATGTTGGTGGTGAGAAACCTGAAACTTTGAAATCTTTCATTAATGTTAGAGGAACTTTCATTGTAGTATTGTGTTTTGTCTCTGAGATTACTATTAGTAGACTAAGTCATCATCATATTTCTTTTAAGTGGCTTGTTACAGTAAATGGTACTGTTTAGAAGAGTTGCTTTAAGAATAACATTAAAGATGTAAAGTTTTATTGTCCCTAAAATCATGTTAATGTTAATTAATTGTGCTCTATTGGGGTTAATTATTCAAGTTTTTAAGATAACAGTAAGGTGTACTTTAGAGTAAACCTTCTCGTGTGTGAAGTTTCATGTGTGGATAAATTGTCATAAAAACTTTTTTAATAGGAGGAAGGATACATATATATGTATGTATTGTAATTTCTACCAATTAGTTAATGAAATTCAACACTATAAATAAGTTACTGGTACATATGTAAATGTTTTCTCTTCTATAACAGGTGTAATGGAGAAGTTAGGACTAGGGCCAGACATATTGCTGAAAGATAATGCTCAGCTTATCTATGCAAGATTATCTGGTTATGGTCACACTGGCCAGTATTCATCAAAAGGAGGCCATGATATTAACTACTTGGCTATTTCAGGTAAGATTTATACAATTTTACTCAAAGGTCCTGTTTTATTTCATTTGGTTATATCATGTAAATGTGCATTATGTGCCACATTAATCAATATGACAAAAAAAAAGACATTATTACTAAAAACTATGAAAAATATCAAATTCTACTTTCTTATATTTTTTGGCTTTCCCAAAATTATGTCCTATATATTCCAAATTATTACTGTTTTATCTGTATCTTGACACTACAAACATGAGTTTTAGCTTTGTCACATGACATTTCCAATACATGTTTTGTAATTTATCAAATAAACTTGAAAAAATCAGGAGTCTTAGCAACAATGGTAATAACACAGTTCTCTTGTTCTTGATATGTATTTATTTTGTGTGTGCGAAATGACACAACCAAAGTTTTAATGCTTAACATACATACTATACATAGTTTAGTCTTACATTATAAACAAAATTATTTTTATATATTACTATTAATTTAATGCCACAATAGAAAAAATAAAACTACAATTTAGATCATTAATATCAATACTTAAGTATTTTATCAGCCAGCTTTTTTTTTTTTAAATTGTACTACTGCTAACATTCTAATCTTGTTAATGAATTTCTAGTATTCATATTATGTAAGTACTTACTGTTATATATTTATTTTAGTCTTCTTCTAG